CGACTTTCACTTTTTTGGGATAATCTATGTTGAAATATGTTATAATTCATATTAAATATAAGATAATTTTCTTAAAATCGTTAAAATCTTTAACTACTATTTTTAGTTCTAGTTTCATCATTTTAAACATAATCTATTATTATATTTAAAAGAAAAATTCACTTGAATTATGCAAGATCTATTTACGTTTAGTTTTTCGATGAACTTTTGAGATTATTTTATGATACATTTGACGATATTTAATTGATGAGATATAAAATTAAATAATAAGGGTTAATTTATTGATAATGGTAGAGAAAATGTTTAAATTTAATATTTATTGATTAACCAACTAGTGATGCATAAAATGATTTTATTGGTATTATTTTCGATTAAACATAAAATAATGAGTCAAAGATAAATAATTGTTAATAAATGTGATGTTTTATTTATTTAAAAAAAAAAAAAAAAAAAAAATGTAACTTGTTTGTTAGTGACATCTTTTTTCTAATAAATATAATTGGTTGAATGTAACGACACGTTTAATCATTAGAATTCTTTATTTATTTTTGTTTGATGGTGTTTTATTTATTGAAAAATAAATTTTGCTTGTTGTTCGACTATAAAATCAAAAAAATAAAAAAATGGGAATGGAAGAATCGTTTTTGTCATCATTAGAATCTATTATTTCAAAATTATTATCACCTCATTGTTATGATGAATTAGTATTAAAACAACATTTTTTTGATCTTAATTGTAATAAAATGTTACTAAGTAAAATGCTTGGTTATGCTATATTAATTGGATCATTACTTGTTAAATTTCCTCAAATAGTTAAAATATATTGGAATAAATCAGGTGTTGGTGTTAGTGTTTTAGCTGAAACAATTATGTTAGCAGCTATATTTGGATCAATGGCTTATGGTTATACATCAGAATTTCCAATATCAGCTTATGGAGATTCTTATTTTCTTTTTATTCAAACATTATTAGTTATTTTATTGGTACTTTATTATCAGAGAAAATATTCCATGGCTATTATTTATTTAGGTTTGTTTTAATTATGTTTTATTTTTATTTTTATCATATATTAACGAATTAATGATTACATAAAAATTGAAAATTTTCAAATATTTTTCGAAATAAAATAATTATTTTAGTGTAAAATATAACAAATGAGAATAAGAATAGATAGGAAAGAAGAACTTAGATTTCGAACTAGTCGAAGAAAAATAAAATCCAATTGATGAAAATTGTTTTTTTTTTTTCCTTCGACTAATTTGTTTAATTGAGAAAGGAAATAAATTCAGCTAAAGATTAAATAATTTGTGAGAAAAATTTTCTTTTCTCGATACATATTTAAGCAAGTGTAAAAATCTATTCTAAGGAGTAAAATTTTTTGTTAAGAAGTTTTAATAGGTCTTCCATCATCATCTGACTTTTCTTATTGGTAAATTATTTGTCATTTCACTTCCAGACATAGATATCTATTATACTGGTCTATTTCAAGGTTTTCTTTTTTTATTTTATTATCAAAGATGATTGTTGATGAAATGACCAATGTGAAACAGGAAATGTTATCTTTTACTTTTATTCAATTAACCCTCTATAGAATGAAAATAGAGAAGTACTTCGTCGTTAGAAGATACTTTTTTCCAAAAAAAATATTTCAATAGACTTTTGAAAGAGTTTTTCACTGTAGTTTTTTGTTTTCTGAGTAGTTTTGACAATTGTTTTAAAGTTTTGGGACGACAACTTTTTTCTTTGCATCCCTGTTGAATAAATATTCTTATATAATTTAAATAAGACAGATGATGCCATATGGTTGCATCATCTGTCATATGATTTTAGAAATTCCACTTGAATATATTACAAACATAACATATTATTATGGTTTTTTTTTTTTTTTTTTTTTTTGAATATACTTTTATCCGATCAGATTTAATAATAATTGATTTTTTATATTTAGACAAGCAATATTTACTGTCGTTGAGTCACCTTTTTGTTTTTTGTTTATTTTAACAGCATATGTACTAAAACGATCATAAAATATTAATCGAAGCGAATTTGAGAATACTGTTTCAATAATAACTGTTAACAAATATTTGATTTCATTTAAAATTATTCCAATTTTGTAGATCATTCATAATGACAAAAGTATTTGACTTTTGATCAAGGTCATAAATATATTCTAAATAAAGGAGAAGTTCGATTTCAATAATATGTATTAACTTTAAATGGAATTATCATATTTTTTATTACAGAACAGGATATATGTAGTTTTCAAAAGAAAATTTTTCTCTATGTATTATTAAGTTCTATACTAGATGTTGGTGACATTTGACTAGATGGCGCCACCTTTCATCGTAGGTAATCTAATCAATTGAAATGTCACCTGTGCTGTGCGCAATAGAATTTAATAATTCATAGAGAAAATTGTTTCTCTAGTCAAAAACCATTGAAAAACTTGTAGTTTTCTTTTTTTATGAGAATCGTTTCTCATTGGGTTTATTCATTGATGAATATTTAAGGTTAAATAAACCGTTCTGATGCTGTAAATCAATAATAAGATGAGAGAGTTCAATATAAACTGTTTATCCTTCTATCATTTGTGTTCAATGACTTGAACATATATAAAATAAAATCTTATTCTTTAATAAATAATAAAATATATTTTATTTATTATTTTTGTTTTATTTAGTTTTATGTGGTTTCGTTACTGTATTAATGTATGAAAAACTCCTTCCGGCTGATTTCGTTGGTATATTAGCTGGTTTATCTCTTGCATTAGGTTTAATTAGTCGTCTTTGGCAATCATATTGCATATATAAAGCAAAATCAACTGGAAATCTTTCTGCCATAACAATGTTAATGTTATTTTTTGGTTCACTTGCACGAATATTCACATCAGTTGAAGAAACAGGAGATTCAACACTTATATGGACATATATATTGAATTCATTTGCAAATTTTTTATTGATATTTCAATTAGGATATTATTGGTCAGCTCCTCTTCCTCTTTTAGAACAAACAAAAAAAACTCAATAAACATTAACTTTTTTTTTTTTGTTTTTTGTTTTTTTTTCATTTTGTCTATCGAAAAGAAAAAAGAAATATGATTTGGAATTTTTCTTCTTTGATTGTAGATTTTAAATAAGAAAAAGAAAAAGAAAAAGAAAACTAATGTCAGAAGAAGCAACTATTGAAGATGAATCTGAAGATGAACAACAAATACCTTCATCTAGACCTCAAACTGAACAAGGTCTTTTACAATGGTCATTTATTTTTCAAATTTGTAAATTTTTCTTTTTTTTTCTTCTTTTTATTTAATAGAATTTTTTAATTTAATTTAGTAATGAAACAATGGGTAATTTTTTTATTATTATCAATAGCAATAGCTATTTTTCTTTATTTAAATGCACGACAACGACGCAATAAAAAACAAATTAGTTCAACAATTCGTCATGATCATGTTCAAGGTGGAAACAAAGAAATTTCAAGAAAAACACAAAATAAACGAAACTAACATTTTGTTTTTTGTTAAATCCTTTTTATCATTGATTGATTCGTAAACATTTTTAAAAAATCAGAAGTTCCCATAAAAATATTAGTTTTATTGACAAGTCAATTAAATATTAATGAAATCAACGAAACTTTTAGTTTAAGAGTGACAATGAATATTCCCAGAAAATAATCATAAATTTGATCTAAAAAATAATATTATTTTTATATAATAAATTGATTTAATTAACAGTTAAGAGGTTGACGAACTATCTATTTTATTCATTTATGAATTTTACGAGTAAATTTATGTTTTACTCTTTACTTGTGGCTTGAATTTATTTTGAAAAATTTAACTTTTCATTATTTCATTCTATGCATAGTTAAATTTATAATTGATTGATTGATTTACTTGTTTTTATTATTTGTTTCTATCGTTTGTTCTTATTACATTTTCATTTTAATCGTTCACCTATTTGTTTTGAAACATGTGAACTTAAATATGTTTTGTGTACAGGTGTTATCATTATCTATTAAATGCAATGAATTAAAAACCTACATACATATAAAACCGAGTCTATTGAATGTTACTCTTATTAGTTCGATCAAGGTAGAAAAAGAGAAATATATGATAGTATAATCTAGTTTTTCTTTTTCCATTTTTTTTGTTCATATTTATTGTCATTATTATCGTAGTCGAACTTCTATTTCTAATTATTAAAATCTTAGTTTGACAAATAATTAAAAATTGAATGGTCTAATTAAAAACAACAACAACAACAACAACAGATTTGTAATTAAATATTTTACTAATAAAATTTGTCTTATTCCATAGGTTAAGCCTTAACGGATTGATCATTCTTCGACTCATCAAGTTGATCAAAGATTAAAGAAAAACAATTTGTTAAACCCTGAGACGGTTATGATAAAAAAGCAAAGCAGACATTTTATATCTGACATAGAAGACAATATTTTTAATAATCTTCTATTTAATATTATTGTTAAACACATTTTATCAATGTCATTTATTTGTATCATTGATTTTAATTTATTCGAAGTCATTTATTGAAACATTTCTGTCACTAATCTCGTATAGAAATTTATAAAATCATGGTTTTTTTAGTCTCAGTTACTTTGTTTCTCCGTGACCCTAATCATAGTCATCTTAAATTTTGAAAAAGTCTTAAATAATGGTGTTATTGATTAATTTAGTTGATGAATATTACTTTGTTGATCGTCTCTCCTAAATCTTGCTACTATAATTAATGTCAATTATAAAATAATTTGATAAAAATCATACAAATTTTAACTGTTACTTTTAGTTTTGGTTCGAACAACTATTTTTCTCGTAATTTTGATCTCAATAAATTTAAATAATCTTGATTCTGCACATCTCGAATTTTACTTTAGAAATCTTCATTAGATACAGAAATATTTTAGAATGTAAAATGTGTAACTTCAAAGATATCAATGTATAATCAATATATTTTAAAATATCACAAAAAAATTCTCATATTTTGAATTAATACTTTGTGGTATACGATTTTACCCAGAGACAGATCCAATATATATTAGACCAACATCATTCATAGAATTAATTCTAATTGTAGTTTTAGATAGAAGATAAGACTGATGTAGAATTCTTGCCTTCAATTGTTTAACCCTTTACACCCTATAGCGCTTCCAGAAGAGCCACTGATAAAATAACTTTATAGGTAGTGTATTAGCCTGTCGAATATGCCAATGGTGCGGCCTAATCCACCGAATGTCCTGTTCCTGGATTAGGGCGGTTTGATTGATATAAAAATCATGTGGTAGAAGATGAGAATTGAACGACATCACAAGACTTCTTTTTTTTTTCTTTGACCACATTATTGACTGGACAGAAGCAGCATCTATCTCTTACTGTTGAAGTTATAGGAAAAACGCAACTAGTGAACCGATAAAAATTAACATAAAAGAATGTATGTTTTTTTAACATCTATTGTCAAAAATAAGCCTATTTTACTCTTAGCCATTTTGTAATGTCTGAAGGAATTAAATCCATCATAAATACTATTTCGACTTCTGATGAGTTGAGATCTGTAACCCATATATTAACTTTGTTCTTGATTTTCGTTCATCTGTCTAACAGTGACTACATGGTCAATTGTCTTCCTTAGTATGTAAAATTCGTGGAGTTATCATGACGCTTTCGAAACACATCTAATTCAGCAGTGTACTTCTTCATCGATTAATATCACACAGAAATTCCAAAAGGCCTCTATTGACTGCAATTTAAGAACATTTTATTTAAAAAATTTCGAATTTTTGCATTTTTTTGAAAATTATTAATTTTGTAAGTCATATAACTTGAAGGTAGGGTAATGAAACAAAATATTTTTTTTGTCAATCGATAGCTTGTGAAGTTCTCTACAAATAATGTCCTGGAGTTTTTCAGTCACATGTTTCCTTTATTTTCTGTGATCGTTCTACAAATGGGTCATATATGACCCATTGGGGTGTAAAGGGTTAACCTTTCTATAAACATTAATTAACTATAAGAGCAGGTTTTAGTCAGAATGTAATTAACATTCTATCAAATGAATCATTTGAGACAAACAATCGTTAGTAAAGGTGTAAGTCAATAGTTCAATTGGCGACGGCGGTGGCGGCGGAAAATTCCGAAATTGAATAATTCTTCAGAAGATAAGAAATGTCTGTTTAAATTACATGTAGGTAAATGGAGATGAGGAATGAATTACTACTCAGTTTTGCCCAAAATTAAGAGATATAATGATTCCAAGAAAAAAAAGATTTAATTGATATACAGGGTGGTCCATAAATAACTGTGGGATAAGAGATTCGAATATCTCCATTACGGCTCGAGCAAACGTGCTGATTTTTTTACCAGTGATAGAGGCATGTACCAAGTTTATATCCATAAAGGCATGTCCAGGGAGACCCTTTGTTAAGTATTACTATTGCCCTGAACAAGAAAAATTTACTTTTTCACAGATAGAAAAAAAAGCAGTACACTTAACAGAGGATCTATCTAGGCATGTCT